CAAATCATTCATAGGTTCCCATCAAAGGGTTCACAAAGGTCAGAGTGTGATTATTTTGCTCATAACTTTGTGCCGTTGTTCCTTTGCGGATGTTACTTTGTATCTGAGTACAACATAATTGAAATTGTCACTGGAGAGCAGGTTGTTTTGGGACCATGTTGGAATGTAAGGAACTCCCCAAACGGTGCTGTATTCCCCGGCGCAGGAGGGAGAGGATGGCCCAGCCTCCCCAGCGGTGACCGCGAGGTTCCCCCTGGATTTTCTGCAAAGCGGTTCTAGGAGACTAGAAGGTATGATTCAGGAGGGCCTTCTGGCAAGACGGGTCCCCAGGAGGACTGGCCACATCATCAAAGACACCCATGCTGGGATGTGGCTCCTCTTCTGACCTCAACTCCCTTTCCGGCGACCTGTATGTTCAGCTCCGGGCTCCTTCCCTTCTCAGGCAGCGTGTCCAGGAGGGCGGCGCCTTCGATTGCGCTCTGCTCACCTGTAGTGCATTTCACACTCCACTTAAAGAGAAACTAAACAGACTGTTCCTTTTATTGAACTCCTGACAGTGATGATGTGAGCCCTGCATCCCCCATAAGGGATAATATCTTTGCTACTTCTGTGAACCCTCGGATGTGAGTGTTCTGAGAGGGGACAGTCCACCTTGGTTAAATAATACTGAGGAGCGTATCTCAGCTTTGGCCACTGGGCGCCTCTTCAGGCGGCTCCTGGGGTCATGGGAACTCTAGGAAACCACATCGCTCCTGGTCCTGGATGACAACTGCTGTAGCTCATCTGTGCCTTACCTGCCCAGACCTGAAATGGGTCCCCTATCTGGGCTCCCTGTCGGGGACATGGGATGTAGTCAGGGTGCTGTTCATGTCTCCCACTTGAATGTGGCTGAGAAAAAATCGCCACCTGAAACCCCCAAACATGAGACGAAGAGGAAGAACAGGGAGGTTACGAGGTCAATCTGATAGAAATCTTGGCATTTTCTGTGGGACTAGCCCAGACATTTCAGGAGAACCCAGATGAGGCCCTCTCTAGGGAAGGTGAGGTTCTGACCCCTGCTGTCTATTTTAGGCCAGTGGGAAAATTCCAGTGTCCACTACTCCACGAGGAAAGCTGTGTCTCCCTACAAGAACTGGGGAAACCCCAGCCCCATGATATCAGCAAGGCATCATGTCAACCCACAGAGAGCAGACATGCTGCTCTCTTCATGAAACTTCACTTTTCAGTGACACAAATTTTCCCCAATACATGCAGTCCCCATCCAGGGGGAAGGGCTTGGAATATGGGATCCAAGAGAGCAAATACATTCAGCTCCTGCATATCCCTGCGGTGAGTCCATGGGTCTCCTATCCAGATACATGTTGGGGAGGGAATGGAGTGAAGGCTCAGGCTCCCCTCCCACCCACCCACCATGTCCCCACCCCAGCTGAGCAATCACCAGCCTGGGGCAATGACCAGACTTCCTCCATCACAGCTGCAGTTTGGGGGCTGGGAGGTGGGGCAGGGACTCCCAGGGAGGGTTTTTGTATGAGACTTTGTCACTGTGTTGGGTGTTCGGCGGAGGGACCCAGCTGACCGTCCTAGGTGAGTCTCTTCCCCCCAGTTCCCTGCTTTCCTCCTGGCCTAGAACAATTTTCTGCCGTGTTTGTGCTTTTTGTCTTATCTCACTTTGGGGTCCAGCTATCAGACAGGGTCTCAGCCCTGGTACCCCGAGCTCCACCCTCCCTGCTCACACTGTCCTGCTTGCCTCTGTGGTCACCAGCAGCCTTCCCCTCTGACCCTAGGGGGAGGGAATGGACAGGATGACCTGCTGAGGTCTATTCCCTGTCTCTTAAGGCCATGTCGAGTCCCCAGGCTTGCTCTGTTTTCACTGTCCCTACCTGGGCTGCTGTTTGGTCTAGCATTGACTTAGTGGTCTCTTGGGGATACCTACCTTCAAGGGAACAGGGCACCAAACCTGCTCAGGGAGACACCACAGACACACTTTAAAAGGACCCAGGCCGATCACTGCCATGGCTGGGGACACACAGTCAGAGGTTGAGGACTAATCCTTGGACTGTGGGACTCAGGATCAGGAACAAGAAAGTTGATGGTGGGAAGGACTCCCCTAGGTTTCCAGCAGAAGCCATGTCTCGGCCTGCTTGGGACAAAGGGGCTCTGCAGGAGGGAGGCCTGAGAATCCAGGAGATCGATCTACAGGCTAAGAACTAGAAAAGGAAAACTCAAAGGCCAGGCCAGAGTCAATGGTGGCTGCTGAGTCCCACAGGAGACTGCTCAGATGAACCATCCTTGAGAGATCTCTGAGGGCTCCTATCGGGCCATGGACCCTTCAGACTAATCGAGAACCTAGGGAAAGCAACTGTCAGATGAGAGAGCCCCAAGGACAGGAGAGAAGCGGTTCCTGTCAGCAAAAGTCCGATCCCACCGAGAGCCTCCAGGGGACTCAGACAAGGGGGAAAGCAAACCAACTGCCAGGGCAGCTACATAAGGTCAGAAGCATCTCCAGACAACACCCCTGGAGATCAGGGGGTGGACAGCAAGTAACCCCAAAGAGAGAGAAGCCCAGCAGATAGTGAGAAGGGAGGGCAGGAAGGGTGGGCAAGTTAGCTCCATGAGAGAACAGAGTAAAGAAGGGTCTCAGAACAGGTGAGGGCAGGTGTTCAGCTCATTATTCCTTAATGGGGGGTTATTGTAGAAAATGGCAAGCTGCCATTTCAGACAAAAACCCTCAGATTCCAAATGAATTCTGAACTAGAAGCCCTGATGTGTGCTCAGGGGCCACTTGATTCACATCAACTCTGAATCAGGCGGTTACAGCCTAGACTCTGAACCTGTCTACCCGCTGCCCTCCCGCACCCTGCAGGTCAGCCCAAGAGCGCACCCTCCGTCACTCTGTTCCCGCCCTCCTCTGAGGAGCTCAGCACCAACAAGGCCACCTTGGTGTGTCTGGTCAATGACTTCTACCCCGGCGCTGTGACCGTGGCCTGGAAGGCGGACGGAAAGCCCATCAGCCAGGGCGTGGAGACCACCAAGCCCTCCAAGCAGAGCAACAGCAAGTATGCGGCCAGCAGCTACCTGAGCCTGACCTCCAGCCAGTGGAAAAGCCACCAGAGTGTCACCTGCCAGGTCACGCACGAGGGCAGCACCGTGGAGAAGACAGTGGACACCAAAGCCTGTTCTTAGGCCCCTCAGCCTCCCCCACCCTCGGGGACCTGTGCCTCAGGACCCCATGGGTCTCCCACCCCACCCCACCAATCTCCACCCTTCATCCTGCAAACAATCCATTCTCAATAAATGTCCTCATTCTCAAACAGAATCCTGCTCTCCTCTCATTTTTTGAATAGTATTTTTGGTCCTGAAAAATCCATTTCCTGAAGGGAAGGTAAAAAGCCATCATTGAAGTCTTCATTTTCCCTTCAAAGGTGTTGTGCATTCCAGTGTCCAGGAATATTCCAGAACAGGAAATTTTGGTAGAGGCAGGAGAGTCCACCCTTGTACCTTCCCCATCCTGGCTCCTCCTGTGTGGACCCTGACCATGTGCAGCCCTACCCAGGACACTGCCCTGGGGACCAGGGCCTCAGGATCCTGTGAGAGACCCTTCCCTGGAAACCTCTGTCTTTACATTCACGTGCTAATTGGGTTCTACCTCATTGGGAGTCACCATGGTCTCAGATAAATGGTCTTCATGTCTTCTGGAACCCTCTGCTCCTGCCTCCCTGAGGACACTGTCCTTGCTACTCCCACAGGTATTCTCTGTCACTCTAACCACAGCACATTCAGCCCCTGGCCCTGGGTCTTCACCCCCATAGTCTCCCTGGCATCCCCTCATACCACATGTCTCACAGACTACTTGGTGTTTTCTGAACACTGAGAGACAGAGATCCGTTCTGCTCTTTACACCACAGACCCAGTGGTCGAATGTCCTCTTCATCAGATGATTTTCTTGGTCCTGTGTGTTCAAAAACAAGGTCAGATCTAGGGGTGTCCATGAGTCTGTAGTCCTCTTCAGAGTTCACTGTGGGATCTGAGCTGTAACTCACACTCATAAACACATACACACCCACACACACACTTAACACACTCACACACACACTCTCAAGCATGAATACAAAACATAATAACAAGACAGAAGGCCAGTTCCAAGTGTTGCAGTGGCAGGCATCTCTGGGCAGATGAGCAAGGGTGGCCCAGGGGCCCAGGCTGGGCCATGAGCAAAGAGAAGTCAGTCACTGCTGACCTTGGATTCTGGCCAACCAGGGCCAAGCAGTGTCAGAGCGGAAGGGCCGGGACACTCAGGACAGGCTCTGAGGAGGCTCGTGGGAGGCCAGCTGACTGCGCCAGTGGGCAGATCTGGGGGAGACTGTGTCAGGAAAACAGACTGCCCAGCATGGGAGTCCATTGTGTGAGCCTTGCAGGCAACACCAGGTCAGGTTGCTCACGAGAACCTGGATGTTAGGGCCCGCTCACAGTATGCATGTCCTCGTAGGGGTGTGGTGTGTCAGGACAGGGTGCTCTGTGCCAGGGGCACTCACATGTGTGAGGCATGTGTGAGCCAGGGAAGTGCAGGAGACAGCAGGGAGTCACATGCGTGGAGCTCAGGGACTCCCTCACTGCCCTTGAGGGGTGCCCTCTAGGCCTTCACGCCTCTAATCCCAGCCCTGTACAAGGAGGCAGCTGAGGAAAGGGACTAAACATTGACCATCACACTGAACTTTCAGGCTGACAACCCAGAACAAGGACCCAGGAGCTCAACACCCAGCCTGGGGACCTGGGGGCTCTAGGTCAAGCCGATTGTACTCCCCACCAAGACTTCCCATTCCCACCCCAGCACTGCACAAGTTCTTGTGTTGAGGACCAGGTGGCATCCAGGTCTCTTCCCACAAGTCCCAATTCTGCAAGTGACCCCGTCTATCATTCTGTGGTGTGACCAGACCTGCTCACCCTGTCTGCAATGTACCCCAAGTGAGCTGAGTCAGCACAGGCTCCTACCTAAGAACGGGATGAACGGCAAGTTCCATTTCCATCCCAGAATTCTCTGCCACCTGTCCCGCCTGACGGCAGGTGTGGCCCTAACAATCCATGGATTTGAAATCCCAGGTCTGCACACACACCTTCCTCTAACCACCGCCCCCAGCTGCCTGACCAGCACCCGTGAAAGGAGGCTGGACCTGGAGGTGAAGCTCCGTCCTCCTGCAGCTGCAGGGGGCCTGGGGGCAGGAGGGGGCGGGCAAGTGGGGAGAACAGAGGGTTTGTGTTCTAGGCTGTGTCACTGTGTGCTGTGTTCGGTGGAGGGACCCAGCTGACCATCCTTGGTGAGTCTCCTTGCTCCTTCCTCCAGAGTGAACTCGGGGTGTATTGTTCCTCCTGTCTATTCCTACTTGGGCTGCGGGGTCTGTAACCTTCACCCTCATCCTCTCCAGCTGGTCCCAACCTCTCTGAGGTCTGGTTGGGAGGCTGGGACCTCCCCACAGAACATTCCCTGGTCCTCAGGTGTCACTGTCCCCAGCCCTATCTCCAGGGGAGCTTCACCTCTAGACTCTGGGATGCTCAGTTCACTCTTCAGGGTCCCCAACCCAGGGTCTGAGAACAGTTAAGGGAAGAATCTAAGGGAAAAGTGTTCTGGCCGGGTCCTGGGATTTTGCAGAGTTTCTGAGAACAAGGCCCAGCCCATGTGTGTGTCATTCATGCTCAACCCGGTGTGGTGAGGGATGGCTAATGGGGCCCTGGCTGGGGACTTGGGGAGATGGGAGAACAGTGCACAGTAAGGGTGAGGGAAGGAATTCATAGGGAAGGTGGTAGGAGGGAGTGGCCTATTCCTCCTCCAACTCCCACGACACCAGGACGTGGGGGACCACCCCGCAGACAGGTGTCAGGAAGCTTGGACCCCAAAGGACTTCTCGAATATCAGCACTGCAGTGGAGGACGCAGGTAGATGTGCAGGAGAGGGGCACCTCAGGGAGACGGGCTCTGTCACACACCGATGTCCTAAGGACAGCGCCCCGGAAACCTCACAGGACAGTCAGACCCTTATGTAGATGCTGTCCAGTCTCAGGACAGAGCACTCACTTCAGAAGGGTAACCCACTGTCTACCAGACTCCATGGAGTCCAGGCCCTGGGCTGACACCCCTCCCTGTGGCAGCCTAGGGACTCTCAAGTAGGGAGTAAGACGGGGGCGTAACATGGTGTCAGGAACTGTGGGCACGACACCGCCACCCCATGACTGGCAGGGCAGCCTGAAGCAAAAAACAGATGAGCTAGGGTCTTGGGGGAGATCTCAGACACACAGAAGGCCCAGGAGACACTGATTCCCTGCTGAAAGACAGGACATCAGGGTGGATGTGAGTGAGACACAGGAGAACAGAGGGCAAGATGAGACGAGGGAACCCCAGAGAGAATTAGGGCACTGAGGGCCCCAGAACACTGGCCTCAGAGCATGAAGTCTCTTCCAAAGGAAACAGTATGACCCAACTCTCAGCCACCTGCTTCCAGGAACAAGACTCCAGCACCTGGGGACATGCCTGCACATTAGTACTGAGGTCCTGAGTTCCCACCAGGACTCTGAGCCTCTGTCCTCCTGCCCTCCTGCACCCTGCAGGTCAGCCCAAGTCCGCACCCTCTGTCACACTGTTCCCGCCCTCCTCTGAGGAGCTCAGCACCAACAAGGCCACCTTGGTGTGTCTGGTCAATGACTTCTACCCTGACTATGTGACCGTGGCCTGGAAGGCGGACGGAAAGCCCATCAGCCAGGGCGTGGAGACCACCAAGCCCTCCAAGCAGAGCAACAGCAAGTATGCGGCCAGCAGCTACCTGAGCCTGACCTCCAGCCAGTGGAAAAGCCACCAGAGTGTCACCTGCCAGGTCACGCACGAGGGCAGCACCGTGGAGAAGACAGTGGACACCAAAGCCTGCTCTTAGGCCCCTCAGCCTCCCCCATCCTCAGAGGCCTGGAGCCTCAGGACCCCCATGGGTCTCCCTCCCCACCCCACCTATCTCCAGTCCTTCATCCTGCAAACAATCCATTCTCAATAAATGTCCTCATTCTCAAACAGAATCCTGCTCTCCTCTCATTTTCTTTAACATTTTGTGACCTGAACAAACCATTCTCAGGGAACATCAAAACAAATTTCTTTTCCCTTCTGAGAATGAACCACCAGTGGGGGCTCCATTTTCACCTGAAGGGTATTTTACACTTCCAGATGTCCAGAGAATATCCAGAACAGGAAATTGAAAGTGATACCTAAGGGCCCCACTCACACCTGCCCCATCCTGGCTCCTCTATTGGACGAGCCTGTGTCTGGCACTCACTTTCACAGTTTAATGGGGGTCCCCCTCACCTCACATGGGAGGTGTGTGTACCCCTGGAAACAAGTCAGATGTTCTCTCTGAACCTTAGCGACCAGCCCTCCATGGACCCAACACAAGCACTAGTGCACGAGAGTCCATGACCAAGTGCCATGACCAGGTGCATCCAGACACAGGCCACTTCCCATGGGCTCCAAGGCGCTGTCTGAATTCTGCCCCTGGATGCTGATCCCCACAGTCTGGGACAAGTCCTCTGGCCTCATGTCCTGACTCCATGATGGACTCATCAAGTCTATGCGTTCTCTAGTTCCATATACGCTTGCAATTCTGCATCGTCACAACCTAAAACATCCTCGCTTCCCCAGGGGCCTGGCCTGCCTGGCCCCTGGGACACTGCCCTTGCTCCTACCACCAGGTTTCTCCTTGTCAACTCACTACAGGGACAGAATTCCTGCCTGTGTCTGGCACTCACTTCCAAAGTTTAATAGGGGCCCCCCTCACCTCACATGGGAAGTGTGTGTACCCTGGGAACACGTCAGATGTTCTCTCTGAACCTTAGCAACCAGCCCTCCATGGAACCAACACAAGCACCAGTGCCCAAGTGTCCAACGACCTTGAGTTCAATCTGATTTTGGAAATGGGCCTTGCCTTGTCTGAGGACAGACTCAACATTTGAAAAAAGAAAGGGATCTGAGAATCAGGAATTAGATAGTCCTAGTGAAAAACCAGGACAGGGATCTGAGCTGATAATGTAGAGACAACACAGACACACACACACGCACACCCCACTCACATAAACTCCAGCGCACACACATTAGCCCTGACTCAGGCCTGCTTGGCGTCTATTCAGGGCCGGGTGGCATCAGGATCCTCACGGAGCTTCAGCCCTTCGCAGATACAGGCTCTCTCATTCTCTCTGTGAGCAGCTCGCTCACACCTGCCCCATCCTTGCTCCTCTAGTGTGGATCATGACCAGGTCCATCCACACACAGGCCACTTCCCATGGGATCCAAGGTCCTGTCTGAGCTCTGCCCCCTGATGAGGCTGAGGACCCCCCAGCAGGCTGAGGCTGGACACAGCTCCTTCAGGATTGAAAGTCACCTTGGAAATGATGTCACCAGAATTCACTCCTGCCCCCTCCACAATGGGACTAGATGGACCCATTCCCCAGGGGATGAAGCTGCAGGTGGGGTTGGGGCCCACCAGCCCATGAGAGGAGGCTGGGCCATGAGCTCCCAGGCAGCTGCAGGTGGGCCTGGGGTGGGAGGGGTGCACCCAGTGTGGTCTGGGGACCGGGGAGGCTGACAGGAGAGTTTCTGTATGAGGATGTATCACTGTGTCTTGTGTTCGGCGGAGGGACCAAGGTGACCGTCTTAGGTGAGTCTCCCCTTCTCCCTCCTCTTCGGGCTCTGGGATCAAATTTGGCTCAATTTTTCTCTCCTTTCTGTCCTGGCTGGGGCTGGGGACTGAATCCCAAGGGGTCTGCTGCCTGCACCCTTGCTGTCTGGCCCTTCTCACCTGCCCACTCTCGCTCTGTGGCACCCGACCAGGCAGGAGGCCTCCCCAGTCTGTTCTTCTGGGCCTCCCTCCTCTGCACTGTCCTTCACCTGAGTGAGCTTGGCCTCCAGAGCATATTCTCCTCCTGACTTTCTGATGGGGCCCTCAGGGACGAGGTGCCCAGGACTGGGTGGGGGCACTCTGGGCAGCAGGTCCAGCAATGTCAGGGGGGTGGGGAAGGCCCAGTCTCTTCAATTCTGTCTCCAATGGGTTCTGATGGCAGCCGTGAGGGACTATGGGGGAAATTTTAGGGCCATGAGTGAAGGAGAAAGGGGCAGTACAAGGGTCACAAGATGGAGGGGCATTTCCTATGAGATTTTTCTCCCCAGGGTGCAGTCAATCCTCCTCCGGGACACAAGGGAAACCCCAATAGCTCAGGAGTCAAAGCACTCAGGCCCAAAGGTCACCCTAGCAGCATGAACACAGGAGGACAGACCTCAGAGTAAAGACCCTTGGGACTTGGGACTCCGAGAACAGTGAAGGGTTCAGCCTGGGTACCACCAGAAGCCCATGAGACAGACATTAGCTCCGTGAACGGGGTTCAGGGGCGGCTAGCAGGAATGTTCTGGATGGACACAGTGACTCCTGGGCTATAAAGTGCCTCAGGCTCAGAACAGAGCACTTACCTCACAGGGTAACCCACCATCTACCAAAATCTCGGGGTGTGGACCATGGGCTAACACCCCAAACCCTGGCAGCCTAGGGACTCCTCTATGGGGAGTAGAGCAGGGGCTCAGCATAGTGTCAGGGACTGTGGGCAAGGAACCCCCACCATGACTGGCAGGGCAGCCTGGAACCAAAAAGACAGATGAGCTGAGGACCTGGGAGGATCTCAGACAGACAGAAGGCCCAGGACACACAGATTCCCTAGTGAAAGAGGAGACTGCAGCGTGGATGCCACCAGACACAGGGGAGCAGGGAGTAAGATGAGATTGGGAACCCCATGGGAGAACAAGGCAACTGAAGGCCTAGCACTGAGATCAGGGCATGAAGTCTCTCTCTGACTCTACCGGGTCCTCAAAAGAGGCCAAGCTGGCATGAGTCAGTAGCTGGTGTTTGTGTGCTGGAGTGTATGTGAGTATGTGTGTGAAGCCTCATACAAAGCTGCCTGAACTTGCGAGACAAGGATCGAGAGCTGTCTCTGTCCAGCACCTAGAGACATGGACTCATTTCAGGACTGAGTTCTGGGGGTCCTGCCAGATCTGTGAGCCTCTCTCTCCTGCCCTCCCGCACCCCACCCTGCAGGTCAGCCCAAGTCCGCACCCACCGTCACTCTGTTCCCGCCCTCCTCTGAGGAGCTCAGCACCAACAAGGCCACCTTGGTGTGTCTGGTCAATGACTTCTACCCCGGCGCGGTGACCGTGGCCTGGAAGGCGGACGGAAAGACCATCAGCCAGGGCGTGGAGACCACCCAGGCCACCAAGCAGAGCAACAGCAAGTATGCGGCCAGCAGCTACCTGAGCCTGACCTCCAGCCAGTGGAAAAGCCACCAGAGTGTCACCTGCCAGGTCACGCACGAGGGCAGCACCGTGGAGAAGACAGTGGACACCAAAGCCTGCTCTTAGGCCCCTCAGCCTTCCCCACCCTCAGGGGCCTGGAGCCTCAGGATCCCCGTGGATCTCCTATCCCACCCCACCCATCTCCAGCCCTTCATCCTGCAAACAATCCACTCTCAATAAATGTCCTCATTCTCAAACAGAATCCTGCTCTCGGCTCGTTTTGTTTTACGTTTTGTGACCTGAACAAACCGTTCTCAGGGAAGAACAAAATGAAATTCTTTTTCCTTCTCAGAAAGAAGCATCAGAGGGTTCTCCATTTTCCATTTGAATGATATTTTACACTTCCAGGGGTCAAGAGAATATTCCAGAACAGGAAATTGAGACCGAGACATGAGAAACCCCTTCACACCTGCCCCATCCTGGCTCCTCTTGTGTGGATCATGACCAGGTGCATCCGCATCCAGGTCACTTCCCATAGGGTCCAAGGCCCTGTCTGAGCTCTGCCCCCGAATGCTGATCCCCATGGTCTGGGACAAGTCCTCTGGTCTCATGTCCCGACTCCTTCCATGAAGGACTCCGTCCAGTCTATGCCTTCTCTAGCTCCATATACACTTGCAATTCTGCATCGTCACAACCTAAAACATCCTCCCTTCCCCAGGGGCCTGGCCTGCCACTGCCCTTGCTCCTCCCACCAGGGTTCTCCTTGTCAACTCACTATAGGCACAGAATTCCTGCCTGTGTCTGGCACTCACTTCCACAGTATAACAGGGGACCCCTCACCTCACATGGGAGGTGTGCATAACCCTGGGAACAGGTCAGATATTCTCTCTCTGAACCTTAGCGACCAGACCTCCATGGACCCAACAAAAGCACCAGTGCCCAAGTGTCCAATGACCTTGAGTTCAAAGAAAACAATCACATTCTGGAAATGGGCCTTGTCCCATCTGTGGACAGACTCAACATTTTAGGAACAGAAAGGATCTGAGAATCGGGGACTCGATTGTCCTACTGAAGAAACAGGACAGGGATCTGAGCTGATGACATAGAGACAACACACACACACCACTCACATAAACTCCAGTGCACACAACCAGCCCTGACTCAGGCTCACTTGGCCTCTTTTCAGGACCTGGTAGCCTCAGGACCCTTCCTGAGCTTCATCCCTACACAGGGCACAGGCTGCCTCATTCTTTCAGCGAGTAGCCCTCCCACTCCTCAGGGAACCCCCCAAGCACGCTGAGACTGGACACAGCTCCTTCAGGATTGAAAGTCACCTTGGAAATGATGTCACCCAGAATTCACTCCTGCCCCCTCCACAGTGGAACTAGATGGACCCACTCCCCAAGGGCTGAAGCTGAAGGTGGGGTCGGGCCCACCAGCCCATGAGAGGAGGCTGGGCTTTGTGCTCCAAGGCAGATGCAGGTGGGCCTGGGGCGGGAGGGGCGCACCCAGTGTGGTCAGGGACCCTGGTGGCTGACAGGAGGGTTTCTGTATGAGGATGTATCACTGTGTTATGTGTTCGGCGCAGGGACCAAGGTGACCGTCTTAGGTGAGTCTCCCCTTCTCCCTCCTCTTCAGGTTCTGAGATCAAATTGGGCTCAATTTGTCTCTCCTTTCTGTCCTGGCTGGGGCTGGGGACTGAATCCCAAGGGGTCTGCTGCCTGCACCCTTGCTGTCTGGCCCTTCTCACCAGCCCACTCTCGCTCTGTGGCACCCGACCAGGCAGGAGGCCTCCCCAGTCTGTTCTTCTGGGCCTCGCTCCTCTGTACTGTCTGTACCTGAGCCGGCCTCCAGAGCGGGTTCTCCTCCTGACTCTCAGATGGGGCACTCAGGGAGGAGGTTCCGGAAATTAGGTGGGGGCACCATGGACAGCTGGTCCAGCAATGTCAGGGTGCTGGGGTAAGCCCGTCCCCTCAGTTCTGACCCCAGTGTGTTCCAATGGCAGCCATGAGGGAATATGGGGGAAACTTTGGGTCCGTGAGTAAAGGAGAAAGGGGCAGTACAAGGGTCACGGGATGGAGGGGCATTTCCTATGAGATTTTTGCCATGGGGTGCATTCAATCCTCCTCCATGACTCAAGGGACATCCCAATAGGTCAGGAGTTAAGGCACTCAGGCCCAAAGGTAACCCCAGAGGCATCACCTCTGGAGGACAGACCTCAGAGCAGAGGCTCAGCCTTGGGGCTCCAGAGAATCATGAAGCGTTCACTCTGGTGCCACCAGAAGCCCTAGAGATCAGCATCTGCTCCGTGAAAGGGGTGGGGGCTGCTGGCAGGAATGTTCTCGATGGACCCACAGACGCCCAAGGGAGAGAGTGCCTCAGCCTCAGAACAGAGTGCTCATGACACAGGGTAACCCACCATCTACCAAAATCCAAGGTCTAGACGCTGGCCTGACACCCCTACCCGTGGCAGCCTAGGGACACCTCTATGGGGAATAAGGCAGAGGTTCAGCACGGTGTCAGGGACTGTGGGCAAGGAACCCCCACCATGACTGGCAGGGCAGCCTGGAACCAAAAAGACAGATGAACTGGGGTCCTGTGGGGATCTGAGACAGATAGAAGGCCCAGGACACAAGATTTCCTAGTGAAAGAGGAGACCACAGCGTGGATGCCACCAGACACAGGAGACAGAGAGTAAGATGAGACAAGGGATGCCCAGGGGAGAACAAGGCCACTGAGGGCCTAGCACTGAGATCAGAGCATGAAGTCTCTCTCTGACTCTACCGGGTCCTCAAAAGAGGCCAAGCTGGCATGAGTCAGTAGCTGGTGTTTGTGTGCTGGAGTGTATGTGAGTGGTATGTTTGAAGCCTCAACCAAAGCTGCCTGACCTTGGGGGACGATAATCCAGATCTGTCCCTGTCCAGCACCTAGAGACATGGAATCATTTCAACTGAGGTCTGGGGGTCCTGCCAGATCTGTGAGCCTCTCCCTCCTGCCCTCCCGCACCCCACCCTGCAGGTCAGCCCAAGTCCGCACCCACCGTCACTCTGTTCCCGCCCTCCTCTGAGGAGCTCAGCACCAACAAGGCCACCTTGGTGTGTCTGGTCAATGACTTCTACCCCGGCGCGGTGACCGTGGCCTGGAAGGCGGACGGAAAGCCCATCAGCCAGGGCGTGGAGACCACCCAGGCCACCAAGCAGAGCAACAGCAAGTATGCGGCCAGCAGCTACCTGAGCCTGACCGCCAGCCAGTGGAAAAGCCACCAGAGTGTCACCTGCCAGGTCACGCACGAGGGCAGCACCGTGGAGAAGACAGTGGACACCAAAGCCTGCTCTTAGGCCCCTCAGCCTCCCCCATCCTTGGGGGATCCTCCTCACCCACATACCCTTGCCCCAGTTCTCTGCTGGAACCCTGAGCCCCCCACCTTGTGCTCAGGCCAGTAATTCCCCTCCCTCACAGTTACTACTGCTCCTCAATAAAGACTTCACCATTTCTCATCCAACGTGCAGCTGTGTCTGGTCATGTCTCTGGGGTAAAGGGTCTGTAATGAACATCAGACAACAAGGACTGAGATTGCACCTGCCCATCACCACCAGACACCCGTGTAGGTGCTGGTGAGCTCCATGGGCACAGGGACCCGGCACCCAGAGCAAGAAGTTGTCCTTCCCCAAAGCCCCGGGATGCAGTGCTACCCCCTGGGAAGGGAAATGGCCCAAGATGCGCCTGGAGTCAGCTAGAGCTAGAACGTGGGGGAACGTCATGGTAGTTGTCTGAGGTTGAAACTCCTCCATCCATCCACGGGCCCAGTGGGACAGTGATACAGGTGAATGGCCCCTGCGCCTACATTACCAGAGCCATGGAAAGCTGTGAACACTGCAAAACACAAGGACGGTCCTCAGGCCTCACAGTACACCCAGCTGAGCCCACACACTGCCGCATCCTGCAGCAGGACTCAGGGTGACACACACAGCCCAACAATCCCCAGGCTGGTTGACACTCCACACAAACTGAGGAGGCCTGAACACTTTTGGGACACTAGTGTTTCTGGTCACTGGGGCTGGAATGTGGGCTGAGGCTGAGAACAAGGTCGCTGAGTCTATGATCTGCAGGTTCTGGTCAGGCTGGACCCAGGGTGACACTGTCTGTGTTTGGCACCTCAGTTAAGGAGTGTCTCTCAGGGAGTGTTCATGTTATGGTTGGGCTATGGAGGGAGCTGGAAGTCAGCTGGCGAGAAGGAGGACATGGACAACTGGGTTCACAAGAAAGGCCACAGTCCACGCAGCGAGTGTCCCCAAGTTAGTATCAGTTCTCATTCAGCTGATTCCAGCAAACTATGGGGGCCAGTGAATGTGTCAGATGGTGACATCCCCTCCCAGCAGGACTATGACCCCTTCTGCCCTGAGCACACCTCCCATGGCTCAGTGTAGCTCATCCCCGGATGCAAGGTCTGCTCGCAGAGACACTCGCACCCGGGTCCGTGTTGGCAGGTGCACTCAGCCTTGTGGAGGTCCAGGCTTGGCCTGCTCTGCTGCAGCTCTTTCCTCTGCATTTCCTGGATTCCTGTCTGTCATTCTGATTCGTCAAGGACCCAGAGTTGACTTTGCCAGAGCTTTGGAGTGGCCAGACACACAAGGAAAGAGCCTAAGACGCAGGGAACACTGGGGCCACAACAAATGAGAGGACAGGGTTCCCCCTGAAATTCACCCGAGCCCATGTTCCCCCTAGTCACATGTGAAGTAACTGAAGGTTTTTGCTGTCCCACAGCACTCTGTGGCCTCACTTACAAGGTGAAAAGTGAGTCCCAGTGGGAGAGAGGACAACCTAGGTCTTCAAAATCTGGGACCAGCTATGTAGAATGACGTCACCCACACCCACCGAGTCCTGTCCCGAGCTTAGCCTTTCCTTTTCTGTGTTGTTCTATTGGAGAAAACTTTAAACACAAGAATGAAAAGACAAAAGAACAAATGAGCCACGTCACCCTCACTCCACCTTCAAAATGATCATTTCTCCTACAGGCGCTGCCACCGGCCCCCCAGCAGTGCCTCCCTAATGCAACATGCACCACAGATTCCCGACCTCACACCATGTGGCTGAAAATATTCCATTGGGGTCCTAGACAGACAAGGACCTGAAAAAATAAAATCATGACAAGCACATGGAAGCCAGTATCTCGGGGAACTCTGGACGACAGTGTTCTGATGGTGAGATTCACAGTGCTTAAATAGTGCTGATTTCATAATATCAACAAATCATTCATAGGTTCCCATCAAAGGGTTCACAAAGGTCAGAGTGTGATTATTTTGCTCATAACTTTGTGCCGTTGTTCCTTTGTGGATGTTACTTTGTATCTGAGTACAACATAATTGAAATTGTCACTGGAGAGCAGGTTGTTTTGGGACCATGTTGGAATGTAAGGAACTCCCCAAACGGTGCTGTATTCCCCGGCGTAGGAGGGAGAGGATGGCCCAGCCTCCCCAGCGGTGACCGCGAGGTTCACCCTGGATTTTCTACAAGGTGGTTCTAGGAGACTAGAAGGTATGATTCAGGAGGGACTTCTGGCAAGACGGGTCCCCAGGAGTACTGGACACATCATCAAAGACACCCGTGCTGGGATGTGGCTCCTCTTCTGACCTCAACTCCCTTTCCCGCGCCCTGTATGTTCAGCTCCGGGCTCCTTCCCTTCTCAGGCAGCGTGTCCAGGAGGGCGGCGCCTTCGATTGCGCTCTGCTCACCTGTAGTGCATTTCACACTCCACTTAAAGAGAAACTAAACAGACTGTTCCTTTTATTGAACTCCTGACAGTGATGATGTGAGCCCTGCATCCTCCGTAGGGGATACTATCTTTGCGACTTCTGTGAACCCTCGGATGTGAGTGTTCTGAGAGGGGACAGTCCACCTTGGTTAAATAATACTGAGGAGCGTGTCTCAGCTTTGGCCACTGGGCGCCTCTTCAGGCGGCTCCTGGGGTCATGAAACTCTAGGAAACACCATCACTCCTGGTCCTGGATGACAACTGCTGTAGCTCATCTGTGCCTGGCCTGTCCAGACCTGTAATGGGTCCCCAATCTGGGCTCCCTGTCGGGGACGTGGGATGTAGTCAGGGTGCTGTTCATGTCTCCCACTTGAATGTGGCTGAGAAACAATCGCCACCTGAAACCCCCAAACATGAGACGAAGAGGAAGAACAGGGAGGTTACGAGGTCAACCTGATAGAAATCTTGGCATTTTCTGTGGGACTAGCCCAGACTTTTCAGGAGAACCCAGATGAGGCCCTCTCTAGGGAAGGTGAGGCTCTGATCCCTGCTGTCCATTTTGGGCCAGTGGGAAAATTCCAGTGTCCACTACTCCATGAGGAAAGCTGTGTCTCCCTACAAGAACTGGGGAAACCCCAGCCCCATGATATCAGCAAGTCCAGGGAGAACCTCGCGGTCACCGCTGGGGAGGCTGGGCCATCCTCTCCCTCCTACACCGGGGAATACAGCACCGTTTGGGGAGTTCCTTACATTCCAACATGGTCCCAAAACAACCTGCTCTCCAGTGACAATTTCAATTATTTCATACTCACAAACAAAGTAATATCTGCAAAGGAACAATCGCAAAAAGTTATGACCAAAATAATCACACTTTGACCATGTCAACCCACAGAGAGCAGACATGCTGCTCTCTTCATGAAACTTCACTTTTCAGTGACAAATTTTCCCCAATACATGCAGTCCCCATCCAGGGGGAAGGGCTTGGAATATGGGATCCAAGAGAGCAAATTCATTCAGCTCCTGCATATCCCTACGGTGAGTCCATGGGTCTCCTATCCAGATACATGTTGGGGAGGGCATGGGGTGAAGGCTCTGGGCTCCCCTCCCACCCACCCACCATGTCCCCACCCAGGCTGAGCATCACCAGCCTGGGGCAATGACCTGACTTCCTCCATCACAGCTGCAGGTTGGGGGCTGGGAGGTGGGGCAGGGACTCCCAGGGAGGGTTTTTGTATGAGACTTTGTCACTGTGTTGGGTGTTCGGCGGAGGGACCCAGCTGACCGTCCTAGGTGAGTCTCTTCCCCCCAGTTCCCTGCTTTTCTCCAGGCCTGGGGCAATTTTCTGCCATATTTGTGCTTTTTGTCTTGTCTCACTTTGGGGTCCAGCTATCAGACAGGGTCTCAGCCCTGGCACCCCGAGCTCCACCCTCCCTGCTCACACTGTCCTGCTTGCCTCTGTGGTCACCAGCAGCCTTCCCCTCTGACCCAGAGGGGAGGGGTATGGACAGGATGACCTGCTGAGGTCTATGCCCTGTCTCTTAAGGCCATGTCGAGTCCCCAGGCTTGCTCTGTTTTCACTGTCCCTACCTGGGCTGCTGTTTGGTCTAGCACTGTCTTAGTGGTCTCATGGGGGTACCTACCTCAAAGGGAGGAAGGCACCAAAATGCTCAGGAGACACCACAGGCACACTTTAAAGGGACCCAGGCCGATCAGGGCCATGGCTGGGGACACAAAGTCAGAGGTTAAGGACTAATCCTTGGACTGTGGGACTCAGGATCAGGAATAAGAAAGTTGATGGTAGGAAGGTCTCCCCTAGGTTTCCAGCAGAAGCCATGTCTCGGCCTGCTTGGGACAAAGGGCCTCTGCAGGATGGAGGCCTGAGGATCTAAGAGATCAATCGCCAGGCTAAGAACTAGAAAAGGAAAACTCAAAAGCCAGGCCAGAGGCAATGGTGGCTGCTGAGTCCCACAGGAGACAGGTCAGATGAACCATCCTTGAGAGATCTGAGGGCTCCTATCAGGCCATGGACCCTTCAGACTAATCGAGACCTAGGGGAAGCAACTGTCAGATGAGAGAGCCCCAAGGACAGGAGAGACGTGGTTCCTGTCAGCAAATTCCAATCCCACCAGAGAGTCTCTAGGGGACTCAGACTTGGGGGAAAGCAAACCAATTGCCAGGGCAGCTACATAAGGTCAGAAGCATCTCAAGACAACAACCCAGGAGATCAAGGGGTGGACAGCAAGTAACCACATAGAGAGAGAAGCCCTCAGAGACCCAGCAGAAAGTGAGAAGGGAGGGCCGGAAAGGTGGGCAAGTTAGCTCCATGAGAGAACAGAGTAAAGGAGGGTCTCAGAACAGGTGAGGGCAGGTGTTCAACTCATTATTCCTTAATTGGGGGGTTATTGGAGAAAATGGCAAGCTGCCATTTCAGACAAAAAACCCTCAGATTCCAAATGAATTCTGAACTAGAAGCCCTGATGTGTGCTCAGGGGCCACTTGATTCACATCAACTCTGAATCAGGCGCTTCCAGCCTAGACTCTGAACCTGTCTACCTGCTGCCCTCCTGCACCCTGCAGGTCAGCCCAAGAGCGCACCCTCCGTCACTCTGTTCCCGCCCTCCTCTGAGGAGCTCAGCACCAACAAGGCCACCTTGGTGTGTCTGGTCAATGACTTCTACCCCGGCGCTGTGACCGTGGCCTGGAAGGCGGACGGAAAGCCCATCAGCCAGGGCGTGGAGACCACCAAGCCCTCCAAGCAGAGCAACAGCAAGTATGCGGCCAGCAGCTACCTGAGCCTGACCTCCAGCCAGTGGAAAAGCCACCAGAGTGTCACCTGCCAGGTCACGCACGAGGGCAGCACCGTGGAGAAGACAGTGGACACCAACGCCTGTTCTTAGGCCCCTCAGGCTCCCCCACCCTCAGGGGCCTGGAGCCTCAGGACCCCCATGGGTCTCCCTCCCCACCCCACCCATCTCCACCCTTCATCCTGCAAACAATCCATTCTCAATAAATGTCCTCATTCTCAAACAGAATCCTGCTCTCCTCTCATTTTTTTATTAGTATTTTTGGTGTTGAAAATCCATTTCCAGAAGTGAAGGTAAAAAGCCATCATTGTGGTCTTCATTTTCACTTCAAAGGTGTTGTGCATTCCAGTGTCCAGGAATATTCCAGAACAGGAAATTTGGGTAGAGGCAGGAGAGTCCACCCTCATACCTTCCCCATCCTGGCTCCTCCTGTGTGGACCGTGACCATGTGCAGCCCTACCCAGGACATTGCCCTGGGGACCAGGGCCTCAGGATCCTGTGAGAGACCCTTCCCTGGAAACATCTGTCTTTACATTCACGTTCTAATTGGTTTCTACCTCATTGGGAGTCACCATGGTCTCAGATAAATGGTCTTCATGTCTTCTGGAACCCTCTGCTCCCGCCTCCCCGAGGGCACTGTCCTTGCTACTCCCACAGGTATTCTCTGTCACTCTAACCACAGCACATTCAGCCCCTGGCCCTGGGTCTTCACCCCCATAGTCTCCCTGGCATCCCTCATACCACATGTCTCACAGACTACTTGGTGTTTTCTGAACACTGAGAGACAGAGATCCGTTCTGCTCTTTACACCACAGACCCAGTGATCAAATGTCCTCTCTTCTCAGATGATTTTCTTGGTCCTGTGTGTTCAAAATCAAGGTCAGATCTAGGGGTGTCCATGAGTCTGTAGTCCTCTTTAGAGTTCACTGTGGGATCTGAGCTGTAACTCACACTCATAAACACATACACACCCACACACACACTTAACACACTCACACACACACTCTCAAGCATGAATACAAAACATGATAACAAGACAGAAGGCCAGTTCCAAGTGTTGCAGTGGCAGGCATCTCTGGGCAGATGAGCAAGGGTGGCCCAGGGGCCCAGGCTGGGCCATGAGCAAAGAGAAGTCAGTCACTGCTGACCCTGGATTCTGGCCAACCAGGGCCAAGCAGTGTCAGAGCGGAAGGGCCGGGACACTCAGGACAGGCTCTGAGGAGGCTCGTGGGAGGCCGGCTGACTGCTGCCAGTGGGCAGATTGGGGGAGACTGTGTCAGGAAAACAGACTGCCCAGCATGGGAGTCCCTTGTGTGAGTCTTGCAGGCAACAAACCAGGTCAGTTTGTTCGCGAGGACGTGGATGTTAGGGCTCGCTCACAGCATGCATGTCCTCGTAGGGGTGTGGTGTGTCAGGACAGGGTGCTCTGTGCCAGGGACACTCACATGTGTGAGGCATGTGTGAGCCAGGGATGTGCAGGAGACAGCAGGGAGTCACACACGTAGAGCTCAGGGATTCCCTCACTGCCCTTGAGGGGTGCCCTCTAGGCCTTCACGCCTCTAATCCCAGCCCTGTACAAGGGTGCAGCTGACAAAGGGACTTAACAGTGACCACGACACTGAAACTTCAGGCCGGCCCTACCTGGGGCCCGGACCCAGGAGCTCAACACCCAGCCCGGGGAACTGCACGCTCTAGGTCAAGCTGATTCTCCTCCCCACCCAGACTCCCCATTCCCACCCAGCGCTTTAAGAGTTCTTTGCTGAGGACCAGGTGGCATCCAGGTCCCTCCCCACAAGTGCCAATTCTGCAAGTGACCCCGTCTATCATTCTGTGGTGTGACCAGACCTCCTCACCCGGCCAGCAATGTACCCCAAGTGAACTGTCAGCACACGGCTCCTACCTAAGAACGGGATGAACTGGTGTTCCATTTCCATCCCAGAATTCTCTGCCACCTGTCCCGCCCGACGGCAGGTGTGGCCCTAACAATCCATGGATTTGAAATCCCAGGTCTGCACACACACCTTCCTCTAACCACCGCCCCCAGCTGCCTGACCAGCACCCGTGAAGGAGGCTGGACCTGGGTCTCTCCTGCAGCTGCAGGGGGGCTGGGGGCAGGAGGGGGCGGGCAAGTGGGGAGAACAGAGGGTTTGTGTTCTAGGCTGTGTCACTGTGTGCTGTGTTCGGCGGAGGGACCCAGCTGACCGTCCTCGGTGAGTCTCCTTGCTCCTTCCTCCAGAGTGAACTCGGGGTGTATTGTTCCTCCTGTCTATTCCTACTTGGGCTGCGGGGTCTGTAACCTTCACCCTCATCCTCTCCAGCTGGTCCCACCTTTCTGAGGTCTGGTTGGGAAGCTGGGACCACCCCACAGAACATTCCCCTGGTCCTCAGGTCTCGCTGTCCCCAGCCCTATCTCCAGGGGAGCTTCACCTCTAGACTCTGGGATGCTCAGTTCACTCTTCAGGGTCCCCAACCCAGGGTCTGAGAACAGTTAAGGGAAGAATCTAAGGGAAAAGTGTTCTGGCCGGGTCCTGGGATTTTGCAGGGATTCTGAGAACACGGCCCAGCCCATGTGTGTGTCACTCACGCTCCACCCAGTGTGGTGAGGGATGGCTAATGGGGCCCTGGCTGGGGACTTGGGGAGAAGGGAGAACAGTGCACAGTAAGGGTGAGGGAAGGAATTCATAGGGAAGGTGGTAGGAGGGAGTGGCCTATTCCTCCTCCAACTCCCAGGACACCAGGACAGGTGGGACCACCCCACAGACAGGTGACAGGAAGCTTGGACCCCAAGGGACTTCTCGAATATCAGCACTGCAGTGGAGGACGCAGGTAGATGTGCAGGAGAGGGGCACCTCAGGGAGACGGGCTCAGTCACACTGAGATGTCCTAAGGACAGCTCCCCGGAAACCTCACAGGACAGTCAGACCCTGATGTAGATGCTGTCCAGTCTCAGGACAGATCACTCACCTCGGAAGGGTAACCCACTGTCTACCAGCCTCCATGGAGTCCAGGCCCTGGGCTGACACCCCTCCCTGTGGCAGCCTAGGGACTCCTGAGTGGGGAGTAAGTCGGGGGCGTAACATGGTGTCAGGGACTGTGGGCACAACATCGCCACCCCATGACTGGCAGGGCAGCCCTAAGCAAAAAACAGATGAGCTGGGGTCTTGGGGGAGATCTCAGACACACAGAAGGCCCAGGAGACACTGATTCCCTGCTGAAGAGAGGACCACAGGGTGGATGCGAGTGAGACACAGGGGAGCAGAGGGCAAGATGAGACAAGGGAACCCCAGAGAGAACTAGGGCATTGAGGGCACAGACTACTGGCCTCAGAGCATGAAGTCTCTCCCAAAGGAAACGGTGTGACCCAACTCTCAGCCGCCTGCTTCCAGGAACAAGGCTCCAGCACTTGGGGACATGGCTGCACATTAGCATTGAGGGCCTGAGTTCCACCAGGACTCTGAGCCTCTGTCCTCCTGCCCTCCCGCACCCTGCAGGTCAGCCCAAGTCCGCACCCTCCGTCACTCTGTTCCCGCCCTCCTCTGAGGAGCTCAGCACCAACAAGGCCACCTTGGTGTGTCTGGTCAATGACTTCTACCCCGGCGCGGTGACCGTGGCCTGGAAGGCGGACGGAAAGACCATCAGCCAGGGCGTGGAGACCACCAAGCCCTCCAAGCAGAGCAACAGCAAGTATGCGGCCAGCAGCTACCTGAGCCTGACCTCCAGCCAGTGGAAAAGCCACCAGAGTGTCACCTGCCAGGTCACGCACGAGGGCAGCACCGTGGAGAAGACAGTGGACACCAAAGCCTGTTCTTAGGCCCCTCAGCCTTCCCCACCCTCAGGGGCCTGGAGCCTCAGGACCCCTGTGGATCTCCCTTCCCACCCCACCCATCTCCACCCTTCATCCTGCAAACAATCCACTCTCAATAAATGTCCTCATTCTCAAACAGAATCCTGCTCTCTGTTCCTTTTGTTTAAGATTTTGTGTCCTGAACAAACCATTCTGAGGGAAGAACACATGAAATACTTTTCCCTTCTGAGAAAGAACCATCAGTGGGGTTTCCAATTTTGCTTGAAGGGTATTTTACACTTTCAGATGTCAATAGAATATGCCAGAACAGGAAAATGAGACCGAGACATGAGAGCCCCCCTCACACCTGCTCCATCCTGGCATCTCTTGTGTGGATTATGACCAGGTGCATCCACACCCAGGTCACTTCCATGCGCTCCAGGTCCCTGTCTGAGCTCTGCCTCTGGATGCTGATCCACACAGTCTGGGACAGGTCCTCTGGTCTCATGTCCCGACTCCTTCCATGAAGGACTCCGTCTAGTCTATGCCTTCTCTAGCTCCATACACACTTACAATTCTGCGTTGTCACAACCTAATTCATCCTCCCTTCCCCAGGGGCCTGATCTGCCTGGCACCTGGGACACTGCCCTTGCTCCTCCCACCAGTGTCCTCCTTGTCAACTCACTACAGGGACAGAATTCCTGCCTGTGTCTGGCACTCACTTCCACAGTTTAACAGGGGACCCCTCACCTCACATGGGAGGTGTGTGTACCTCAGACGTTCTCTCTTTCAACCTTAGCAACCAACTCTCCATGGATCCAACACAGTCCCTAGTGCCCAAGTGCCCAGCGACCTTAAGTTCAAAGAAAACAATCAGATTCTGGAAATGGGCCTTGTCCCGTCTATGGACAGACTCAACATTTTAGGAACGGAAGGGATCTGAGAATCAGGGACTCGAATGTTCTAGTGAAGAAACAGGACAGGGATCTGAGCTGATAACGTAGAGACAACACAGACGCACGCACGCACACACAAACACACACACACACACTCCACTCACATAAACTCAAGTGCACACACACCAGCCCTGACTCAGGCCCACTTGGCCTCTTCAGGACTCGGTGGCCTTAGGACCCTCCCAGAGCTTCAGCCCCGCACAGGGCACAGGCTGCCTCATTCTCTCAGTGAGTAGCCCACCCACTCCTCCAGGGGACCCCCCAGCAGGCTGAGGCTGGACACAGCTCCTTCAGGAATGAAAGTCACCTTGAAAATGATATGACCCAGGATTCATTCCTGCCCCCTCCACAATGGGACTAGATGGACCCACTCCCCAAGGGATGAAGCTGCAGGTGGGGTCAGGGCCCACCAATCCATGAGAGGAGGCTGGGCTTTGAGCTCCCAGGCAGCTGCAGGTGGGC